AAGTTGAAAACCATTTGAAATTGGCTCTAGGGTGATAGCTTGCCCTAGATAAAGATCTCCCATACCTTTACTAAGATTCCCCAAGAAATTTAATGAAGAAAACGTCTTGCATCCACAACCCTAGCTCCCACTTCTTCTTCTTCTTCTTCCTTGAGTTAGAGAGAGATATAGAAAGAGAAAGAACTTGGGATTTGATTTGGGAAAATAATGAGTTAAAGGAATGTTTTAAGACCCAAAACCATTTAAAATCAACCCCACTTAATAAACAATTAAAACAAAATTACATAAAAACCCCTCAAAGAACCTCATTATAAAGTCAACACAAAGTCATAGGCTCTTGCTTAACCTATCATTTTTCCGAGTCATTACAGTTGCGCCAGCCAGAGCGCCATAGAATGTTCTCTGAACTTTGAGGGCTGGCGCCCTGCGCCTCTCAGAGCGCCATGAACACCATTTCTTCCCATTCGTTCCCCACCTTTTTGTACATGTTCCATAGTGATGTACCCACGTTTTCTAGTTGATTCCAATACTTTAAGGTACATCTAAACATCCTGAAATCATCCATAAACATGAGATCATGAACCTTGAATCCATAATCCAATTCAAGGAAAGTTAAGATCAAAGTCAAGAGAAGTAAGAGTCAAGTCAAGATAAGTTCTTAGAGTTTTCGAAAAGTCTTTTCCAAATGTTTTAACTTTGTTTTAAGACTTAAAGTTCAAGTTGAGTAAAGAGTAAAGAGTAAAGTTTGAAGTTCATTTCTTCAAAAGTATATGGGGACTAAGTATTCCCAAAGAGATTTAAAATGTTTTCACATTAAATAAGAACAGAAACTGAGATTTCCAAAAAGCCTTCGAGCTAGTTTTCAGAAAAAGTAATCGCTTTCTAAATGAAGCAAAAGGGGAAACTTTGATTTCCAAGATATCCTTTGAGCTAAGTTTTAGAGCACTAATCTCAAATCACAGAAGAGTATGCTTTTAAACATAAATAGCTAGTATCATTTTTGGGAGTAGTATTGAGCATCGATGGGGAAAAGTTCATACAACTATCAGCCCCCTTAAACCATGTAGCCATCATGGGTAGAAAGGGTCATACATTTTAGATGAACCCTTTTCGCATAGACTAGTGGATCCATTTAGTAATTCAGGTCTTATACCTTTGGCCGGGTATAGGATGCACTGACAGCGTGAAAGAGATAGCTGTATCATCACAATAGCTCTTATGTGATGGTTGTCTGTTAGAGAAACTCCCACATAAGTTATTGTATTTTTATATACATCAGTTTATTGTATTTTTACATACATTTCAGAGTTATGTTGTATCCTTGTACATACACAGAGTTGACATCATGTTTTTATACAACTTTTCTTTATATTGCACTTGTTTAAACTGCTTTATATTGAATTGAGTTCAGTTAAGTATTCATGAGTTGAGAAGAGCCAAGATAGGTATTTCTTTTAGATTTTCCTTCCAGCCTATGTTGTTTTAGCATTCCAACTCGCGTACTCGTACATTCAATGTACTGATGCCAGTTGGCCTGAATCTTATTATGATGCAGACACATGTAACTAGGATCGGCATTCCAGTGAGCGGTTCAGAGTCAGTCGGTGAGCCTCATTGCATTTCAGAGGATCTATTTTCATTGCTTTCTAGTTAGTTCATTAGGATGTGGTGGGGTTTGTCCCAACATCCATCTCAGTTATTTTAGAGGTTTCATAGACAGTTAGATGTTAGTCCTTTGAGTCTTTTCATTATTATTTCTTATTGTTAAGACTTGGGTTGCCACTTTTGGCCAAGTTAAATGTTTAATCCTTAAAACATTCTCAGTTATTTTATTATTCAGTTCAGTTAAGTTCATTGAACATTATAGATATGAATATTGTCTTTTGATGAGTTAAGTAAGCTAGGCCAAGGGTTCGCTTTGGGCCAGCAATGGTCTTCGAGTGCCAGTCCCGCCTAGGGTGTAGGCTTGGGGCGTGACTTGACGTCATTTGGCCTGCATCTTTTATGATGCAGATACAGGTAACCATGATCAGCATCCGACACTTCGTTGATCAGTCAAGTTTCAAAGTCATTTGGTGAGCTTACTTGCTTCCAGAGAATCCCTTTATTATATTTTATTATTCAGTTTTGTTAGAATGATCGGAGGTCTTGTCCCGACATCCCTCATAGTATTAGAGGCTTCATAGATAGATATACAATAGTTCACGAGTCTTTTCCAGTGTCAGTTATAAATGTTTAAAGACTTGAGTTGTCTCTTTGGCTAGTTGAATGTTATTTCTAAAACATTCTAAGTATACTTTTGAGACAGTTGAGTAAAGTTTACATTTGATTTCATTTATTGATGATTAAGTCTTCCTCTGAGAGTTTAGCCAGACCAAGGGTTCGCTTGGGGCCAACAATGGTTCTCGAGTGCCGGCCACGTCCGGGGTGTAGGCCCGGGGGTGTGACACAAAGTATGTCCTATTTTCGTCTTAAATTATTTATCGTGATTTTTAGAATAATTATCTTAATTAAATTATTTATTAGTTTAGAAATCTAGATAAAATTAATTACTTTTTCCTTATATTATTCTTAGTAGTAATTGTTTTGAACACTACAAATATCTTAATAGAGTAAATATTTAATACAAATTACATCTTAAAACATAAATGATGATAAAATAGTAATCAATATTTCTTTATATATACCTATAAAAGAGTGAAACACAACAAATAATTTAGGGCTAAAGAAAATATATTTCTCTTATTTTTCTTGCATTGTTGCTAGTCCCGATGGTCTATTTCATTTTATTTTGGACACTTGAGCAGACTAAGATAAGTACCCAAGTCATGTACATAAGAAGGATTATGCATCTTGAAAAATCAGTACTACTACTACTATTACTACAACAACGATCCATTTCAATATCAGTACTAGTAGTAACACTATGAGCAATGCTCTTCGATATTTCCTTAGTGGATATCACAGGTGATAGTTTGAGACTCAGACGTAGTTGTTTAAATGTCAAAGGTGGTGCAGGTGCAATTGATATACCTTCATTTGGTCTTACCATACATGGCTTAGGCAAAAACTCTTCTGAAAATGTAGGAAAATTTAGATTTCGAATTCTTGGTAACCTAAGCATTGTATGAATTAAAAAGATAATAGCACCATATTGAGACTATTTTGATACACAAAGTCGTTATTAGGTAAGTTATCTTACAAAAACTTCTACATATAGAAGGATAATACCATACTAGACTATTTTGATACACAAAGTCCTTACCCTATGAAATTTATGAAAGTTATGCCTTATTTAATAAATATCCCTATCTAAATTGTTCATAGTGCTATCTCAAAGTCCACATTTTAAATTAGCAAAAATTATTGAATAAACATTTCCATCTCAATCGTCTAACCATCGTACCTACCAACTATATATAAGTGGAAAAATAAAACTAATAGAAAACATATACTAATTCACTACACAAATATATAAAAATTTCTCCATTGCCAAAGTCATATTACTTTCAGTAGTAGTCATATTAACTATCCTCGTTCAAACTGCAAATTCTCTCCCCCTTACCCTCTGAATATATGGTTACATCCTCGATATGCTTCCAAACTACAATACTGTCTTAAAATTTCGTTGTTAATCTAAAGATGACGATCTTGAAGACCAAAACCTTAATGTAGATGGTGAATTTAATTTTACATTTCATATTGGCATGCATTTGGTGGTACTCATTTTTATTGTCACTTTTATTGGGGTCCAAAGCAACATTTTTTGATATTTTTATTTTGGAGGTCATAATTCTCCTCCAGCTTATGTTAAAAAACATGATTGGAATTAATTAATAATTTATGAGATAAAGTTTAATATGATTAATATTAATAAAATATCAAAATATTAAACAATGTTTTTGCATTTTTTTCTTTATAATAACTTAATGAGATTGATCTAAATGTCAAATGATTGGATACAAATGTAACAACACCTCATTATAGCAGTCATGAAATTTTTAGATAAACGTTGCTAATATAATTAGATTTGATGTATAACAACAATAACAAACAGCAACATATGTAGTCTGAAAAAATAAATATACGCAAATCACCTTATGATTTAATCTATTTTTCTTAAACTTTTTTTTTGGGGACCAGTCAGAATGATGTCAATTTCAACTCTGAAATTAGAATGGTTTCTTATGATTTATTAAATCCTTAATTATATCATAATTAATCATGATCTACCTAAATAATATGATTATATTTTCTATCTAGTTTTCTTTTTTTTTTATCAAAAGGAGATCCGTGCAATTAAATTTAATAATATCAATATAATAAATCAAATAAAGGGTAAAAGAAATGGAATCTCATGTAGCAACTAGAAACAAAACATATTCATATCCTATCTTTGGATTTTAGTAATTTTATCATACAACAATAACATTCTCAGTGAAATTTCACAAAGTGGAACCTGGAAAAGATTGAATATACATAAATTTATCATTATCTCATAAAGGTAAAAAGGTTGCTTTCAAAAGACCATCTGCTCAAGTATAGTAATTTTACAATATTGTTAAGTAATGTTATCTTGCACTGAATCCATCAGAACTTCAATGTTAAGCATGTTTGGTCCATTGTAGTGGTAGAATATTGATGTTCCTAAGAAAAATGATGAATTGATAATTACTCTTTCATATATTATTTAATCAGAGATCTCGAATTCTTGAGTTTGAGCACTTAGTTATAATGAGTATGAAATTATCTTTGTTAAAAAACACTTTATTCTTATGCGGATATCAAACACCTGATAAAAGATTATTAAAAAACATTATTTGCGATTATTTTATAACTTACCTGATTTGTATTTTTATACATCGTCATCATGCAGTACTTAAACTCTGATTTTTTTTAAAAAAAAAAACAAAGTGGTCCATGAAACTATAACATGATAATTTCATATATAGGGCTTCTATTCTTTCAATTATATGCATAAGTTATCGAGTATAGTTTTTGGTTCTTGAATTTATCAAAAATGGAAGAAGTAAAACTCCATGGAACATCTTATAATTTGTTTACTTATAGAGTTATTTGGGCTTTAAAGCTAAAAGGAATACCATTTGAGTATATAGAAGAAGAACATTCAAATAAAGGCTCTTTAATTATGAAATATAATCCAGCTTTTAAGAGATTTCCAATTCTTTTTCATGGTGAAAAAGTAATTTCTGAATCTATGGTGATTATTGAATATATTGAAGATACTTGGCCTCAAAATCCACTACTTCCTATTGATCCTCTTGATAGATCCATTGCAAGATTTTGGGTTAAATTTGCTGGAGATAAGGTATGGTTTTTCATCCTGTCTTGCGTTCGATACTCGTTTTAAAGCTCAACTAATTTGAATTGGCGTATCTTACGAAAGTCCAACTTTAGAAAGTAACCTTTATATAGATAATAGTAAAATATTTCAACTGTGCCTATTTATGAAAGAAAGTTCGACTTTAAAAAGTAACTTTTATGGTAGATAATAGGAAAACAACTCAATTATATATGTCTATATATCAAAGAAAGTTCGACTTTAGGGAGTAACTTTTACGGTAGATAATAGAAAAACAACTTAATTATGCCTATATATCAAAGAAAATACGAGGTTATTACTTCAACAAGGTAATTTATCTTACGTAATATCCACGCGACACAACATTTTTTTTAAAAAAAAATCTCATTTTTCGTTGGACTTAAAAAAACTCACGATGATCGAAAAATGAGATACTATTAGTTTTCGTTTTCTAAGTTATTACGTAAGGTGAGTTGTTGATGACATAGCTATACTTAGATAAGTAAAATTTATACTTTTTGCAACCTACATATGTTGTTCTTGGGATACGATCATATTCAATATTTCTCGTGATGTTTATTATAAACTGAAAGTTAGATAATCATTTGTGAAATTAAATTATCTCGTTAAATCTCAAATCGATTTGATATCAACTATATTATCATATAGGGTTCATGTATCGGGGCAATGTATTATACAAGTGGTGAAAAACAAGAAAAGGCAATCAAAGAAACAATAGAAATGCTCAAAATCATAGAAGAACAAGCCTTTATTGGAGATCAAGAAAATAATTTTTTTGGTGGTGAGAAAATTGGGATTGTGGACTTGACTTTTGGAATAATTCCTCATTGGCTTGAAATTATTGAAGATATTATTGGTGTGACATTATTGGAACCTAATTTATTTCCTAATTTATTAAACTGGGTACAAAATTTCAAAGAAGAACAAATCATCAAAGAGAATCTCCCTAATTATGATGAAATGTTTGTGTTTTTAAAAAATCAGAGAGAGATGATATTGTCATCTTCTTGAAAATTTTAATTTGTCAACTATTTAATAAATTATTACTTCCTCCGTTTTAATATGTTTGTCGAGTTATCATTTTGATAGAAATAATATTTGGTTTGATCATTGTTTTTTTTAGATGTCTTCTAAATATTTTGATTCGTTAATTATAATGAGTTATAATACTTCTTATGTAATTTCTAAATATATACAATTTATGTTGATTGTATAATTAATCGAAAAATAAGCAACTAATCAAAATTCAAACATTTGCAAAAAAAAAAAAAAGAACCAATTAAATTTAATCCCCAGAATAGGTAAAATATTTTAATGAACTAACAACTATCAGCTACCTACCCAATAGAAAAAGGAAAAGAAAAAAAAAGAATTTGAGAAAAGAAAGTCAAAAATAAAATTTGTAATTTATAAAATATGAATGAAAGTTTGAATATACGCTTAATGGGTTTAGCTTTACAACTAGAATCGAGGTTTATCAAAAATAATTTTTTATCTTTTTAAAATAAGAATAATTAAAATTTATGTACACTTTATCTTCTCCACACCTCACTTATAATGATGACGGGGTTAGCCTACGTACTCTTTGACTAAAGTCCATAATAAATTCGTAAAAAGATAACTACTAAACATATTATGATTTGACTTCAACCAAAATTTATTATAGTATTAAGAAAAAAGTGTACATTATTCTAAACTTTCTCTTAAATTAATTTATAAACTTTCTTGTTGATCAAGCATAACATTCCTTTAAAATGACACTAAATGATGAAGAAAATTAAAGAAAACTTTAGAAATGGATCAAGATTTGAAGCTCCATGGATCATGGGTAAGTCCATATTCATTAAGAATAATATGGGCTCTTAAATTAAAGGGATTATCATATGAATATATAGAAGAAGATCTTGCAAATAAAAGTGATTTGCTTTTGAAATATAATCCTATTTTCAAGAAAATTCCAATTCTTGTTCATGAGGGAAAACCAATTTGTGAATCTATGATCATTCTTGAATATCTTGATCAAATATGGCCAAATCAATATCCATTGCTACCAATTTATCCTTATGAAAGAGCTTTGGCTAGATTTTGGGTGAATTATTTTGAACAAAAGGTAAGATTCTTTTCCATCTAATATGCTTCTACAAAATCTTTACTCTGCGCCCGTCTCATATTAGTTGTCATGTTTCGCTTCTCGATGAGTACATTTCAGTAGAGATAAATCTAAAATCTTGAATATATATGAGTTTTAGATTCTAAAAAGACAATTTAGTGGTTTTTGATAAGTTATTTTATATTTATATTAAGTAAATTCATTAACACAAATAAATAAAAACATTCACTATAATAATTATAAGGGTATTTTTTTTTTTCAAATCCCTTTCCCATTTATTTTTAATGATGAATTTTATCTTTTAAAAATCTTTTGCAGAGTGTATCTCTTTGGATGATATTTAGATTAAAAAGGGAAGAACAAGAAAAGGCAGTGAAGGACAGCTTGGAAATGTTGAAAATTATAGAAGAAAATGCTTTTAAAAATCAGAAAAATAATATATTTTTTATTGGAGGAAAAATTGGAATAGTGGATATAGCTTTTGGATGGATTTGTCATTGGCTGAAAATTATAGAAGATGTTGGAGGTGTCAAATTAATTGAAGAAAATTCATTTCCTAATTTGCAAAATTGGATGAAAAAATTCAAAGAAGTACCTTTGATAAAAGAAAGTCTACCTAATCACCAAAAAATGTTTTTGCCTTTTAAACTTATAAGAGATATGTTGTTAGCATCTTGATTTTTGTTGAACAAATTGTATAAGAATAAATATAGGAACTTGCTTATATTTCGTTAAGTTGGTTTCAAGTTCGAATAAAAAAATTAGGAGAGTTGCAGTAGATTGATGATTAATGTACAATTAAGTAATTTCAAACTGAATTTGGTTTATTTGGGATTGGGACATAAGTATTGTTGTTGTATGTGTGTGTATGTACATGTTTCCTTCTTCTAGTCAAATTCGATAACTTGAAATATAGAATAGATAATTTTTCTTGATAATTGCGGTGTTGGGTCAATTTGGGTACATCTCAACTAATTTATAGGATATTTGAGGTGAGAAGGGGCTGAGATTTAAATATAAGACCTTAAGATTCTCAACCAGCTTTATAAATTGATCATCAGGTCTCACCCTTAAATACAAAAATGAAATATAATTTGCTATGACATATTACTACACTATAATGTAATAATTTATACAATGTATACAACTTGAATTATTTATAGTATAATTTTCAAATAGCTTTCTTATGGTCAATTGAAAATTGTCTTGTTTCAAATAATTTTTTCTAGATTTCCAAATCATTTTGTATAGTTGTTTTATTATCATAATAATATTAATCTATGTCATCCTTATCTCATAGTTAATTACTATCAATTAAAATTACCTAGATTTATAGTTATAGAGAGAAAAGCAAAATATAAGACATAAATTATTATCCATATTAATTAGAAGATGATCTAACTAACATGGATAATCACTACCTAAAATGCTAAAAATAAATAAAAAATTATCAGTCAAAAAATCTAATTTATGACTTCTGACTTATAGTCATAAATAAAAAAAATAAGTCAAACAAGCTCTATGAAACAACTATAAATAAGGGTGTATAACATTGAAATAATTATAAGAATATGAGTTTTCTTTCAATGGAAATTAGTTTTTTCTTCCTTATTGGTTTTATCATGTTTATTATTTCTTCAACAAACAAATGCTATTACTGTTCATGTAGTTGATGGTATTGAAAAAAATGATCCTCAATTAATATATCACTGTGCATCTGGAAGTGACGATCTCGGAAAGCATTATCCCAAATTCAATGATGATTTCCATTTCTCGTTCAAGAGAAATATATTCTTTGAGACGGTGTTCTTTTGTCATTTTTGGTGGGGTAAAAAAGACATTAGATTTGAAGTGTATAGAGAAACTGGAGCTTGTGGGCATGAAACAGGAGGATCTAACAAAGGAATATGTTATTGGTTAGTTAAGGAAGATGGCTTCTATTTTGCTATTAATGATAATCCTCCTCCATCTGCTTTTGTTAGAAAATTTGGTTGGTAAAAAAATAATGTAATTTAATATTTGTTCTCTAATTATAATCTGAAATGAAAAAAAAAAATTATGAATATGTCATGTTGTCAATCCCTATAGTGGCTCTATTTCATTGTAGTTAGCTAAATATATTGAGATTCATGAGAATAATCAGGTGGTTGAAATTCTGATACTATGAATATAGTTGAGTAATTAAGGGTATATATTTTGAGGACAACATCAATCTAGCTATAACTGAGCCACTGCCATTGATGAATCAAACCTATAATATTAATGCCGCTCTACTCGTCCGCCTCATCTGCTCTTAGTCAACTAACCAAAAACTATGTACTGGAATTTTCCTTTTGTCACGACCCGAGTCTACACCCTGGACGTGGCCGGCACTCAAGAACCATTGCTGGTCCCCAAGTGAACCCTCATCCTGACTGACTACAAGCGGAAGACTAACTTAAGCATGCAAAAGCTTAAAACTGAAATAAAATTCAATAAACTCAACTTTTGAAACTTTAACTCAAATGAACAACTTAGAATAAAAATAATATATTCAACTTGCCATAAAATAGACACTTAAGTCTTTAAAACATTTAATAAAATAAATGAATAATACAGACTTCTTAACTATACTGACTATCTACGAAGCCTCTAACTGATAAAAATGGAAGTCGGGACAAGACCCACGACATCCTAACAACTGATATAACTGAAAGGTAAATGAAATCCTCCGAAAGCAAGGAGTCTCACCATAGCTAACTCGAACTCTCGGATGTATCAACGAAGCTCATGTTGATGATTCTGAATACCTGTGTCTGCATCATGAGAAAATGCAGGCCAAATGGCTCAGTACGTGGAATGTACGAGCATGTAAGAGGAATTCTAAAACATAAGCTTGAAACTTTATAGAAATGAAACATACTTACCTCTTCTCAAACTTACTCAACTCAAGGAATACTCAAGGGTACTCAAAACTACTCAAACTTACTCAACTCAGAAGTACTCAATGATAAGATACTCAACTCCGAGATTAGATACTCAACTCAAGAATATGATATTCGACTCAAAGATATGATATTCGACTCTAGATACTCAACTCTGGATACTCAACTTTGAATACTCAACTAAATATGACTGAACTCATTTCAATATAAAGCAATTTAAAACAAGTGCAATATAAAGAAACAAACTGTTTAAAAACATGCTGTCAAATCTGTGTGTATGCAAGGATACAACATAACTCTGAAATGTATATAAAAATACAATAAAGTGATGTATATAAAAATACAATAACTTCTGTGGGAGTTTCTCTAACCGACAACCATCACATAAGAGCTATAGTGATGATACATCGATCTACCTCACGCTGCCAGCGCATCCTATACCCGGCCAAAGGTATAGGACCTGAACTACTAATGGATCCACTAGTCTATGTGAAAAAGGTTCATCTAAAAAGTATGACCCTTTTCTACCCATGATGGCTACATGGTTTATGGGGGCTGTGAGTTGTTTGAACTCTCCCCCATATCGGTGATCAATACTACTCCCAAAAATATACTAGCTCTTATGTTTTAAAAACATACTTCTTTCTGCTGATTTGAGATAATTGCTCAAAAACTTAGCTCAAAGGCTATCTTGGAAATCTCAGTTTCCCTACTTGCTTCATTTAGAAAGCTATTACTCTTTTCTAAAAACTAGCCCGAAAGCCCTTTGGAAATCTCAGTTTCCGTTCTTATTTAAATGTGAAAACATTTATAAACTCTTTGGGAATACTTAGTCCCCATATACTTTTGAAGAAAAGGACTTCAAACTTTACTCTTTACTCTTTACTGAACTCAAAACTTAAGTCTTAAAACAAATTAAAACGTTTGTAAAAGACTTCTTAAAATATGGTTCATACCGAATTATGGACATGAACTACTCAGTGCAAGGTTTTCAATAACCATAGATAAAACTCAAATACTTGGAACTCAAGAACTTCAATAATACTACTCATTTCAAGAATGCTCAACTTAGAGTTCATGCGGAATTATGAGCATGAACTACTCAACTCAATGACTCAAAGATACCTCTCATCTCAAGACTGTTCGCCTTATAATGTTCATGCGAAATTATGGGCATGAACAATTCAACTCAAGGACTTCATGGATAACATGTAATAGTCCCATGATTAGAAATATAATCTCAAAGGGGTTAGAAACTCAATACTTAAAAGGCTTAGAACTTGAAGACACCACTTCTCTAAATGATGCTCAACTTACGACGTGCATGCGGAGTTATGGGCATGAACGACTCGACTCAAGGGTCAAAATATCAATAAGGAATTCATGTACAACTTTTCTCATTCTCATACTTACTTTCTCAAAATTTAACTCAAATCGATGATGGATCTCAAAGGATTCAGAATTGAATTCAAAGGCTTCCTTGAACTCTACTCTTAACTCTCTCTTGAATTTGAATTATGAATTCAAGAGTTATGATTCATGATATGAAGGATCTCAATAACAATATAGCTATTCGATAATTAGGAATAGAACTTTTAAAAGAAACATAAATTCAAGAACTCAAAATCAACTTATCTCAAGAATACTCAAATCTAGGGAAAGTATCCTAGATTACTCTTTTTCTAATCTGAAAGTAGATGTAGGGCGTGAGGACGAACTAGTCCAACACTATGATAGCCTTACATACCTAGAAGTTCAAGACAAGAATCTTGAAGAATCTTGAAGAAGAACTTGATTAGAAGCCTTGAAACCCTAGCTTGAAGGTAAACAATCAAGAAGACCTTTCTTGAGATTCTCGAGTTAGTTTCTTAAAATCTCTATAGCCAAAAATTATGATTTTCATGAGTGAAGATGAAAATCTGATTGTTTTGAGCTTTTTAATTAGTCAAGAAATTCGTTGATGGTTTTCTTGGAGGTAAAAAGACAAAAACGATTATTTTCAATATTTTCCCGTCGGCTAATTCGTAACAGCACTGTATAGGTTACTAAAATAGTCATAACATTTTACTCAGATATTGGATGACATGAAACTGGTGGGGGATAGGTTATGGCTCACGTATCTCTTAATATTCTAAGAGATATGGTCATTTAAAGTTGACCCAAGCAGAATCTTACATTAAAACTTAATGAAACTTCAAGAACACTTATCAAGAACTCATCAAGAACTCTAATCTTTAAATTTCAAGAACGAAATTACGCTGAATAAATCATGATTGGCGTGTGGGTGAAAGAACCCAACACTATGGAAGTTTACATACCTCTTAGGGATCAAACCCATGGCGACAATCCGCAATAACTCTCAAGAACGTCGACGAACGCCTTCAACCTTTCCTCTTTTCTCCTCTTCTCTCTTCTTTTCTCTTCTTGAACTCTCAACTAAAACCCTAGGTGTAAACTAGGATTATAAAACTAAACCTAATCAGATTATACCCCTAAAATATTACTAAAAACGAAATAAATCTGATTGGGTAAGGAAAAGACCAAAATACCCCTCTCTATTTTCGGCTAACCTTCCTTAACTGGACAGCCTATCTTCAAAAGGCCATATCTCACTCATCCGACCTCGAAACATAGAAAAATCCACGGAGTTGGAAAGATAATTCAAAGATCTTCGCTACGGTATCTGGTAACACACTTAATTCATCCTGAGCTAGGAGTTATGGTTGTTTGAAGTCGACCCAAAACTCATACTTAAGCATAACTTGCAAAATTTCAAATTTTGCTATTTCCAATTTAATTCTTTTT